GGCTGTGTGCTTGTACTCAAACTAAGCTTGACTTGAGGACATGTTAGTTTGTTATGCCCCTCACCGTTGCAGTACCCACATCGCCTAATTTGCTTCTCGACCTTGTTCTTCGGCACTTCTTTTCGCTTGCGTTGTTTTCGTTGAGGGTCACGAACATTGTTTACTACAATGCTCTGGTTGACTGAATGATTCAAACCAAACGAGTTTTCTAATTCTTCTATTAGTTTTTTCATCTCATCTCTTGCGGTTTTGAAAGACTCGTCTGTCTTTGATGCAATGTAGCATAACCTACTTGACGTTGAACGTAGAGCAGCGAACCTTGCCATTTGCATCACTTCTGGAGACACATTCAAATCAACATAGCTGGGTGCAGAAGCCTTCGCATCATTAGTCCACCTACTTTGAATCAAAGTCCCGGGCAAATATGTGTAGTCCAATTGCTTCAAAATGTGAAGTTGATGGCGACACGGAAGTCCAACGGTCTCGAATTTTTTGCAGGAGCAAATTAGAGTTTTCGTACGAGAATCAAAACTAATTTCAAATTTCCTATTTTTTTCTGCGTACTTTGACAAAATATAATGTTGACATTCATCTGATAAGGACTTAATCTCTGCCTCAATCCGGTACAATGTCTCCCGTGTAAGTTCATCTTGGAACACACGAAAAGATTCGCGGGTAAAAATCGCAGCGGCATGGCTTTCAAGGTCGACCAGTTTTGTGATATGGAAGGGCTTCGTATGGGAACTTAAGTAATCCGCTTTCAACTCGTTCATACGCATTCTACTAATTCCATCTTCAATTGCACGAACAACATCTAAATATGTCTTCTTGTGTTTCAGTGCAATAGCTAGTGAAGCATTCATAGACTCGCACCTTTGTGTTGAGCGAATATTGGCAAAGAAATGACCAGTTAGATATGCTTGTGCCCATAAGTGTCGTGTATTTCCCTTCTCAATCACCCATGGATGCTTTTGGACGTTGAATTCTGAAACAATCGAACGCCATTGAATATCAAATTCCTTGGTTGTCCACCAGGAAGCCATGCATTTTGAGAATGCTGCTGTAAACTTTGGGTCACCAATGTTAGCTTGTGCATTGCGAGAAAGATGCCAAGAACATAATCTGTGCTTAGCATAAGGGATAACAGATTTGATAGCCCTCTGCATTGCCCTATCCCCATCGGTTACAACAGAAATAGGTGATTTATTCATCATGGCTTCTAAAAAATTCTGTAGCACCCACTCGAAAGATTGAGACGTTTCGTCAGCGATTATGGCAGTGGCAAACACAATTGTGTTATGGTGATGATTGACACCAACAATAGGCATAATTGGTCGACCATACAAATTATCTTTGTACGTTGTGTCGAACGCAATTACATCACCGAAGCATGTGTAATCCGATCTCGATGTAGAATCCGACCAAATAAGATTATACAATGCCCCCGATTCGTCTACCGAGTATGTCATAAAAAACCCGGGATCATCATGTTTCTTATAATCAAAGTAGGCAATAAGCGCATTCACATCCCCATCGACGATTTCCTTTGCTTTACCTCTTTGAAGTGCATTGTAGAGGTCTTTATGTGTAAATCCAACATTATGATAGCCCCCTGCCTGCTGCGTTAAATAGTTCATTACTTGTGACGTGCCAACACCGACCTCTTTCAATGTTGTTGCCTCATCGATATCAGCCTTACTTACAGCTCGATTAGAACGCATAAATGGTGTCATAGCAGATGTGCACAATGCTGATTATGTTTCTGATCAGACTTACTTATAACCCACTGATCGTTTGTATTTGTTGCTGTAACTACGACTCTAGCCTTACATCCTGTTCTTGTGACTGGCGTATGAGCACGTTGACGATCAACAGTATTGACTTTTGATACTCGAAACCCTTCTTTGGAACAACAAAATTCTTGTGTCTTCACATTCCCTTCCACGTCAAGCCGTGTTGTTCCCTTACGTGCACTAAACCCATGTTCCCGTGCGAATCCCTTGTAAAAGTGCCAAGCTTGATCACGTGAACAGAAGAGCTGACCAACCAATCTGTCAGATTCATCAACATTATGTACTTCATGGCATTCCTCGGTTGGCTTAACATTGTCTACATCAGTATTATCCATGGCAAAAATTTTGTTGTGCAAGTTCAGTGCTCCAGGAGTTGATGGATATGTAAACGAAGGTTCATTTTGAACATGTTTCTGTAGTTAAAGGGTGGGTACAACATTAAATTCGCAGTACATATTTAGGTATGTAAAATAACTACAAGTATATTATCATTTTAAATTCGCAGTACACTGTTAAAAAAATTGAAACATAAATTACATAAGTTTTAAAAAAAGTATCGATCCTTTTTATAAAAAGTATGGACACTTTCAATATAATAGGTAAACATATGATGTAATAGGTAGCCCTTATATAATGTAATAGGTATCGTTTATATAATGTAATAGGTAATGGTTATATTGTAAAGTGTCTATCCTTTTTATAAAAGTGTCCATACTTTTTTCACTGTGGAAAACATTAATTTAAGGTTATCTTTTGAGTGAGTTTTAAGATATTAATTTAGTAATTATAGGCGTCTAATGATTTATTTTTTACGTTACGGTATATATTATTATTAAATTTAAAATTCTAAATAATATTTTATAAAATATAAAAACAATCAAATAATTTTTGTGCAAATGAAATTATTAAATCAATATTGTAGGTGGAAAACATGAAACACTGTTAAAAAAATTGAAACATAAATTACATAAGTTTTAAAAAAAGTATCGATCCTTTTTATAAAAAGTATGGACACTTTCAATATAATAGGTAAACATATGATGTAATAGGTAGCCCTTATATAATGTAATAGGTATCGTTTATATAATGTAATAGGTAATGGTTATATTGTAAAGTGTCTATCCTTTTTATAAAAGTGTCCATACTTTTTTCACTGTGGAAAACATTAATTTAAGGTTATCTTTTGAGTGAGTTTTAAGATATTAATTTAGTAATTATAGGCGTCTAATGATTTATTTTTTACGTTACGGTATATATTATTATTAAATTTAAAATTCTAAATAATATTTTATAAAATATAAAAACAATCAAATAATTTTTTGTGCAAATGAAATTATTAAATCAATATTGTAGGTGGAAAACATGAAACACTGTTAAAAAAATTGAAACATAAATTACATAAGTTTAAAAAAAGTATCGATCCTTTTTATAAAAAGTATGGACACTTTCAATATAATAGGTAAACATATGATGTAATAGGTAGCCCTTATATAATGTAATAGGTATCGTTTATATAATGTAATAGGTATCTATCTCGCATGTGAGTACTTTATTCCAACCATGTGACAAGTGTGACAACTCCATCAACTCACAACTCAGCTTTGAACTCAATCAATATTGTCTTTTAGCTTGATGGTTCATAAAGCATGTTACTTGAACAGTATGAATCAATTATGCAATTTTCATGTTCAATTTAACACTGCATTTCAAATTCATTTCATATGTAATTGGAGTTTGAATTTAAATTTCAATTTGAGTTTGAATTTCAATATATATTCGGCTCCACTATAAATATTAGCCCAAGCCAATATGCATGTTATCATTGATTATTCCTAATTTCCATTGTTTTTTTCCAACGTATAAACGCGAGGGAAATCCGACCATTTTATTTTTTGGTCAACTTTAAAGCGTCAGAAACGTTTCGGGCGTATGATCTGGGTGGTATACAAGAAATGTAACAAATAGCAACTAAAATCATAAGTTGAGTACCACCCAAATCATAAGTCTGAAATACTTCCGATGCTCATCAAAATCCAAAGCTCATTTGGTGCCAAGCAAAAGGAAATCAAAATCCAAATCTCATATGATGCCAAGCAATAGGTAGTGGTTATATTGTAAAGTGTCTATCCTTTTTATAAAAGTGTCCATACTTTTTTCACTGTGGAAAACATTAATTTAAGGATATCTTTTGAGTGAGTTTTAAGATATTAATTTAGTAATTATAGGCGTCTAATGATTTATTTTTTACGTTACGGTATATATTATTATTAAATTAAAAATTCTAAATAATATTTTATAAAATATCAAAACAATCAAATAATTTTTTGTGCAAATGAAATTATTAAATCAATATTGTAGGTGGAAAACATGAAACACTGTTAAAGTATCGATCCTTTTTATAAAAAGTATGGACACTTTCAATATAATATAATGTAATAGGTAAATTTGCAATGCTATCGGTATAAATATACTGGTTTACTTATAAAATAGGTAAATATAAGCGCTACCTATTACATTATATAAGCGTTACCTAGTATGTTATTGTACTTTATAATATTTCCGGTTAAATAATATAACATAACCGGTCTAAATTTTAACCGGTCACTTGTTTAACCGGTCACGCCGTATATTAGCCGTTTTTTAGGCGCCGCACCGCAGAACGACCCTGCAGAAAGAGAATCCAAGTTTTCTGGCAAAATATGGAAGCTCTGATTGATGAGATACTGTTACTGTGACATATATTTTCGGACAAGCAAACATTAATTATTCGATCTTCTTCTTCTTCCTAGATTCTGAAACCAAACAAACATGTTTCTTCGTTTTCTTTCTCTAAATTCAGAGGAAATAAATAAATAAAGTTACTTTTTCGGAGTTCAGACCACCAGACTTGGATGGTAGATAGTGTTGCATAACACGTAAAACAAGGTAAGCTCTCTTCCTCAACATTATATTGTAAGAAAATTATACAATATTATATTAAGAAAACTGATAAATTATATCCATTTATGTTATACAGTGCATGCATGCATGGATATTTTCAAAAACATCAGTCCAAATTAATTACTAATGTTAACTGAAACTCGCCTGAGAAAACGTTTTTTAATTAGCCCGATCTAGCACAGCCATTGAAGAAGCGAAAATCAAACCAGATGAGATGAGCTAAATGGAAATGAAACACGAATTATACTAAGAAAAGACTGAGGATCATCATGCAGCGGTGGTGGTGGGGACGGCGGCGGTGGTGGGATTTGATGGGTTTTGCTTGGCTAGATTGTGCTTGTTGTTGTGCATCCAGACCTTGAGGACTCTTCTCTTGACACCAATCTCTTGGCAGAACTGTTGCACCACTGATTCTTCTTGCTTTTGGATTTTCCACCCAACTTTTTCGGCAAAGTTGAGCATTTTGTCCTTCTGTTCCTGTGTGAACTTGGTCCTAAACCTTTTCTTCATGAGTTGTAGAGGCCTGTTTCCGACTACCCAATCACCGTCTTCCGGCTGCTCATCGGACTCTGAAGGGAGGGAGACCATGTTGCAGGACATTATCATTTGGTGGGGCGTTGGTGCTGCTGATCTCGAGTGTATGAGAGTACCTGTAGGGTACCCTAGAGCCTCAGGTGCTAGGATACTCTTGTGGTGGTGACCCAAGAGGAGTTTTCTCCCAACTCTGCCGCTCACACCGTGCAACGGGTAACAATCAAATGAGGGCTCGCCTTGCACTTCTTTTCTGTGGAAGTTCCTATGGCAGTTACAAGCGGAGCAAGTCAGTGCTTCGACGGTACCCTCTTCACCACTCGGCGTGAACTCGCCGCACCCATCGGTGGCATTTCCTCCCATGGCAGCCGCATGGTTCTTCATACACTCACGGTACCTCACCGGTTTCATGTAGGGCACATGGTCTTCCATCGACAAGGAGGAAGGGCCATTGGAAAGGACTTGGGGTGCTGATGAAGGTATGATATGGTTATGGGGTGGAACATGATCATGATGTATCATATGCCCATGCCCATGCCCATGTCCCCCACCATATGTACTGTTCAAAGGAATTGGGATCTCCCCTTCTTGACTGGAAAGTTCCATTTCTAGGTAATATATACTACTATTTTATTAGGGATAATAGACCTAATTCCTAGGAGTGTGCTCTTAATACTTGGCACTGAATCTGAGAAACCCTTGTTTCATGAATACCCAAATCCCATAATAAAAACTTAATAAAGAAAAGGAGACAAAGGAGAAGGATGACCCACTAAAATGTCCATAATAGGTCAACTGGTAAAAGAAGAGAAAGAAGCAAATTCAAAATGCAAGGTAAGAGCTAAAACACCAATATAATAGTGTTCCAAAGTGAGGGCAAGTGTGTTGACTCGGTGTAGGTCTCCCCAAGGAAAGGAGTAATCAGTGTGACTCAGTATAGTAATACAACAACTTGTTAAGAAAATTAAGAAGAAAAGGGTGGTGAAGAAGAGAGGGTGTTTGGGAATAGAGAAGGAGGAATAAACAGGTGCTTATAGGGTATACCACAATGGAATGAATGAGAGAGAGAAACATTCACACACAAACATTATATAAATTATTAATACCATAAATCCAAACAATTTAATTACTGAACTTTGATAAATATACATTTTTTATATTTTAATTTCATATTAAACTTTTATTTAATATCTCTGGTTATGTATCTAAATTATGGAGGATTATATGTTGAGTCGTATAAGGTATTTAGTCTATCTCAATCTGATTTAAAATATTTTTTTATTTAGATCAGATTCAATTTAAATTTTAAAAAGTGTTATCTGATCTGACTCGTATTTTGAGGTCAAAATTTACATTTAATCTGATTCAACTCGATCTATATATATTTAAATTTTAGATAAAATAAAGACCTAACTGAGAAAATAATATATAAAAGAGATACTATTATTTATTCCCTAAATATATAATGAATAATTATAATATTATCTCGGGTAGAGTTTTTTCACTTTAAATTTAAATCCAAATTGACTCAAATTTTAATTTTGAAAGAAAAAAATATGACCCAACTCAATCTAATCAGGTCAAATTAAAATTCATCGAGTCCGAGTTAAATACTCATCCATAATCTAAACTTGGTCTCAAAGTTGAATTTAGTACTTTAACTTCGTATGATCTAAATAAATATTTAAATGTGTCATTCTCATTAAAATCAATTCATGAAATTTCATTTAATAGTTCATCGTAAGTGTTACTTTATAATTAAAATAAAATTCAAATATCAATTTAAATTAATAAATCAAATTTAAGTATTTAATTAAACTTTACTATATATATATAAATATATATTTAAATAATAAAATACACATCAAATTAAATCTTAAAACAAAATTGAAGTATAAAAATATATATTTACCTTAATTTTTTTCGTACAATGAATCTTAAATGGTCGATGATGCTCATGTTATCCCATCATGTTGGTAGTTCAGCAGAAGCAAATCATTTGCATATGAACAACGCTTAGCTGATTATAATCGACTGTAACTGTACCCTTACACGTGGCATTAGCTGAATGGAGCAGTTGCTAGTTAGTTAGTAATCTGTTAGCCACAGCTGCACCTACAATGTATAAATTGAATATGATTCAGTAATGAAAAGCAAGCTTTTCAGAATACAATTTTTTGTTTGTGTTTTCACTATTTCAACATGGTATCTCTCGCCAAAGATCTTGGGATCTTTCTTTTCGCTGCTTGAAGTCTCTCTCTAATGGAGTTTCATGCTACTGCAAAATCGTTCTCTCACAAGAAAGTCAGTATCATTCTTGATGAGACGAACCTTCTCCTTTGGAAACAACAGATTCTGCTCACAATTCGGAGCCATCGCTTAGAACGATTCCTTACTGGTGCTATGGCAACTCCACCTGAAACGGTTCTTGATGATGATGGCGTAACACGGGTCAATGAAGCCTATGAATATTTTATAGCACATGATAGTGCTATTGCCTCCTGGTTATTGTCCTCGATCAGCAATCATCTTCTTCCTCAGTTTGTTATAGTTGAAACTGCGACGGCCGTGTGGACCACTGTTCTGCAATTTTTCGCCAACCGCTCCACAACGGCTGTGATGAGTCTCCACTATAAATTGCAGTCCTTACATAAATGGGGTGACTCTATGCGTACATACGTTACTCGAGTGAAAGAGGTTTGCGATGCCTTAGCCTCTTGTGGCAGTGTTGTACCTCAAGTCGAGCACATTGCAAGCATTCTCAAAGGGCTTCCACGTGAATACCAGCCCTTCATGGCAGTTATAACCTCAATGAGAGAGTCTTTGTCCTTAGATAGCATCTACACCATGCTTCTTGATGCAGAAACACAGCTCGCCAGGTTTGAAGATCACCTGGATGCTTTACCAATGAGTGTCAATATTACTCAAGGAGAAATTCGCAACTCAACAAGTTTCAATTCAGGTTACTATTCAAGGTCTGGAGCTCAAACTGGTGGTAGAGGACGTGGTAGATAAAAAGTGCAATGCCAACTCTGTGGAAAAATAGGTCATCTTGTAGATTGGTGCTGGCACAGGTTTGATAAAGATTTTTCATGTGTAACTACAACAAGTCGTGGATCCAATCAGTCAGATCGTCGAACAGCTTCTTCAACATTCAATTCGTCCTCTGATACTGGATGTGAATTTTGTGCCAATCATAAGTTTAGCTCATCTATGGCTGATCAACCACAAGAGAATACCTTCTCCTTGTCCTCGGATCGCTGGGTGGTTGACACCGGTGCCACACACCACGTGACCTCAGACACTAACAATGTCATGAGTCCAGCGAAATTTCTTGGCCCAGGTAAACTTCTTGTTGGTAATGGCATGCCACTCGATGTAAACCTGGTTGGTCACTCTCACATTAATTCTTCCTCACGCATGTTGTATCTTAAAGATTTGCTGCATGTTCCGCAAATAACTAAGAACTTAATCTCTGTTTCTAAGCTTGCCAGGGACAACAACATATTTTTAGAATTTCATGCAAAGAGTTGTTGTGTGCGTGATGAAGCAACCAGTGATATTTTACTTCAAGGAGAGCAACATGGAGGCTTATACTCGTTCACTATGGACAACAGTTCGTTAGGAGTTAATCTCACAGAAGTTAATAACTATTCAACTTCTTCCTCGACAGAAAACCTCTGGCATAGGCGCCTTGGTCATCCAGCAGCTGAAACATTAGTCAAACTAGCTAATGAAATAGGCGTTAAGGTGAATTCCAATGTAAATAAGCTTTGTATAGCTTGTCATATGGGAAAAAGCCATAGGCTACCCTTTACTTACTCAAATACATCATCTACTGCTCTTTTTGATCTTGTATACTCGAATTTATGGGACCTGCTCATGAGCAGTCAAATGGCTTTCATTTCTACGTTTCATTTGTAGATGCGTTCACAAGGCACACTTGGATTTATTTGTTAAAGAGTAAGGATGAAGCAGTGTTGGCTTTTCGAATGTTTCAAAAAATTATAGCAAATCAGTTTGGTACTTCAATCAAAGCTCTACAAACTGATTGGGGAGGTTAATTTCGATCTCTAAGGAATCACACATCGCTTGACATGTCCACACACCTCCGAGCAAAACGGAGTCGTTGAAAGGAAGCATCGACATGTCATAGAACTAGCACTTGTTTTGCTCGCCCAGGCATCACTGCCAGTGAAATACTGGTTCTATGTTGTTGTTTCAGCAGTTTATCTAATAAATAGACTCCCTACTAAAGTTCTACATGGAATATCACCCTTTGAGAAGCTGTATAAAAAGAAACCAGACTACTCCATGACGAGAGTCTTTGGTTGTCAATGCTTCCCTCACCTCAGACCGTTTCAAAAGCACAAACTCTCATTCAGATCTCAATCCTGCACCTACCTGGGAATCAGTCCTCGACACAAAGGATTTAAGTGTTTGGCGTCTGATGGAAGAGTTTATGTTTCCAGACACATTGTGTTTAATGAATTTATATTTCCTTTTGCAGGTCGAGAAAATTGTAACTTCTATATACCTACACACTCAAGCACTCGCTCATCCCAACCTCTTCGAGTTGTTGCAGATGTAAGGAGTACAAGGCTTCAAAGCACACATGATAGTCCAGACAATTTAATACAAACTTCTATGAACAGCGAGTCTGAAGGTACTTCAAACAATGTTGCATCGGGGAATGTTGAATCGACTGAATCCAATGATATGGTTGCTACTACTGATCATGATCACAGTGCTCGTGAACACACAGATGTTGCTCCCGAATCCAGTAGCACTGAATTTCCATTGGATCCTGGCAATGGCACTGGTGAGCCCACCTCTGCTAGCATCAACCCCGATAATGCTTCAGAATTAAATGGTGCTGGACCTCCATCACGAATTCACCCCATGTTGACGCGCAGTAGGTGTGGCATCTTTAAGCCCAAAGTCTTCTTAGCTACTGAGAATGATGATATCCCTACCACCATAACAACTGCACTTCGATCCCCTCATTGGACTGCTGCAGTGAATGAAGAATATAATGCATTACTAAAGAATGGTACTTGGTTACTTGTTAAACTACCAGAAGGGAGAACTACAATTGGATGCAAATGGATTTTTCGCATTAAAAAAATCCAGATGGGACTGTTATTCGATATAAGGCTCGATTAGTCGCTCAGGGGTTCTCAGACTCCTGGTTATGATTTTCGAGATACGTTCAGCCCAGTGGTTTGATTCTCAACGTTCAATACTGTTCTAGCAGTTGCTATTTCCAGAAGATGGGAGCTTCGACACGTTGATATAAACAACGCGTTTCTTAATGGAGATCTCAGTGAGGATGTTTATATGCGTCGACCTCCTGGTTTCGAACAGTTTGATATGGATGGAAAGCCCTTTGTTTGCAAGCTTCAAAAGGAATTATACGGTCTTCGACAAGCTCCTCGCAATTGGCACGAGAAACTCAAAGATAACCTACTACAAATGGGGTTTATAATTTCTCGAGCTGACCCTTCGCTGTTCGTAAAGAATTCTCATAAAGGACAAGTCTAAAAACTGGTGTATGTAGACGACATAGTTGTCACTGGTCAGCGTCAAACTTAATTCAAGAAGCAGTGTCCACGCTACAAGAACATTTTTCACTCAAGGACCTGG